ATGTAAGATATGTAATACTTTTCGACATTATTTTTATTAAAATGTATAAAATAATTCAGACACAAGAAAGCGCTCGTGAAAATATTGTGGGATGAAAGATATTTACTAAGCTTTAAAAGGTTGTTAGTATGTAGAAAATTACATAAAATATTATAGTGTTAACGCTTTTTAAGTGCGTTGAAAAATTTATACTTTTCGACATTATTTTTGTTAAAATGTATAAAATAATTCAGACATAAAAAAGCACTCGTGAAATTGTTGAGGGATGAAAGATATTTACTAAGCTTTGAGAGGTTGTTATTAAGTAGAAAAGAAAGTAGAATCTCATGGTGCCAACAGTTTTTGAGTGCGTTGACAAATAAATACTTTTCGACATTATTTTTGTTAAAATGTATACAATAATTCAGACATAAAAAAGCGCTCGTGAAATTGTTGAGGGATGAAAGGTGTTTACTAAGTTTTAAGAGGTTGTTATTATGTATAAAAGAACGTAGAATCTCATGGTGCCAACAGTTTTTGAGTGCGTCGACAAATAAATACTTTTCGGCAATTTTTGGTTAAAATATATCAAACACAATGAAGCGCTCATGAAATTGTTGGGGGATGAACGATATTTACTAAGCTTTAAAAGGTTGTTATTATGTAGAAAAGTACGTAGAATCTCATGGTGCCAACAGTTTTTGAGTGCGTTGACAAATAAATACTTTTTGGCAATTTTTGGTTAAAAAGTAGAAAATAATTCAAACACAAAAAAACGCTCATGAAATTGTTGAGGGATGAAAGATATTTACTAAGCGTTAAGAGGTTGTTATTATGTAGAAAAGTACGTAGAGTCTCATGGTGTCAACAGTTTTTGAGTGCGTTGACAAATAAATACTTTTTGGCAATTTTTGGTTAAAAAGTAGAAAATAATTCAAACACAAAAAAACGCTCATGAAATTGTTGAGGGATGAAAGATATTTACTAAGCGTTAAGAGGTTGTTATTATGTAGAAAAGTACGTAGAGTCTCATGGTGTCAACAGTTTTTGAGTGCGTTGACAAATAAATACTTTTTGGCAATTTTTGGTTAAAAAGTAGAAAATAATTCAAACACAAAAAAACGCTCATGAAATTGTTGAGGGATGAAAGATATTTACTAAGCGTTAAGAGGTTGTTATTATGTAGAAAAGTACGTAGAGTCTCATGGTGTCAACAGTTTTTGAGTGCGTTGACAAATAAATACTTTTTGGCAATTTTTGGTTAAAAAGTAGAAAATAATTCAAACACAAAAAAACGCTCATGAAATTGTTGAGGGATGAAAGATATTTACTAAGCGTTAAGAGGTTGTTATTATGTAGAAAAGTACGTAGAGTCTCATGGTGTCAACAGTTTTTGAGTGCGTTGACAAATAAATACTTTTTGGCAATTTTTGGTTAAAAAGTAGAAAATAATTCAAACACAAAAAAACGCTCATGAAATTGTTGAGGGATGAAAGATATTTACTAAGCGTTAAGAGGTTGTTATTATGTAGAAAAGTACGTAGAGTCTCATGGTGTCAACAGTTTTTGAGTGCGTTGACAAATAAATACTTTTTGGCAATTTTTGGTTAAAAAGTAGAAAATAATTCAAACACAAAAAAACGCTCATGAAATTGTTGAGGGATGAAAGATATTTACTAAGCGTTAAGAGGTTGTTATTATGTAGAAAAGTACGTAGAGTCTCATGGTGTCAACAGTTTTTGAGTGCGTTGACAAATAAATACTTTTTGGCAATTTTTGGTTAAAAAGTAGAAAATAATTCAAACACAAAAAAACGCTCATGAAATTGTTGAGGGATGAAAGATATTTACTAAGCGTTAAGAGGTTGTTATTATGTAGAAAAGTACGTAGAGTCTCATGGTGTCAACAGTTTTTGAGTGCGTTGACAAATAAATACTTTTTGGCAATTTTTGGTTAAAAAGTAGAAAATAATTCAAACACAAAAAAACGCTCATGAAATTGTTGAGGGATGAAAGATATTTACTAAGCGTTAAGAGGTTGTTATTATGTAGAAAAGTACGTAGAGTCTCATGGTGTCAACAGTTTTTGAGTGCGTTGACAAATAAATACTTTTTGGCAATTTTTGGTTAAAAAGTAGAAAATAATTCAAACACAAAAAAACGCTCATGAAATTGTTGAGGGATGAAAGATATTTACTAAGCGTTAAGAGGTTGTTATTATGTAGAAAAGTACGTAGAGTCTCATGGTGTCAACAGTTTTTGAGTGCGTTGACAAATAAATACTTTTTGGCAATTTTTGGTTAAAAAGTAGAAAATAATTCAAACACAAAAAAACGCTCATGAAATTGTTGAGGGATGAAAGATATTTACTAAGCGTTAAGAGGTTGTTATTATGTAGAAAAGTACGTAGAGTCTCATGGTGTCAACAGTTTTTGAGTGCGTTGACAAATAAATACTTTTTGGCAATTTTTGGTTAAAAAGTAGAAAATAATTCAAACACAAAAAAACGCTCATGAAATTGTTGAGGGATGAAAGATATTTACTAAGCGTTAAGAGGTTGTTATTATGTAGAAAAGTACGTAGAGTCTCATGGTGTCAACAGTTTTTGAGTGCGTTGACAAATAAATACTTTTTGGCAATTTTTGGTTAAAAAGTAGAAAATAATTCAAACACAAAAAAACGCTCATGAAATTGTTGAGGGATGAAAGATATTTACTAAGCGTTAAGAGGTTGTTATTATGTAGAAAAGTACGTAGAGTCTCATGGTGTCAACAGTTTTTGAGTGCGTTGACAAATAAATACTTTTTGGCAATTTTTGGTTAAAAAGTAGAAAATAATTCAAACACAAAAAAACGCTCATGAAATTGTTGAGGGATGAAAGATATTTACTAAGCGTTAAGAGGTTGTTATTATGTAGAAAAGTACGTAGAGTCTCATGGTGTCAACAGTTTTTGAGTGCGTTGACAAATAAATACTTTTTGGCAATTTTTGGTTAAAAAGTAGAAAATAATTCAAACACAAAAAAACGCTCATGAAATTGTTGAGGGATGAAAGATATTTACTAAGCGTTAAGAGGTTGTTATTATGTAGAAAAGTACGTAGAGTCTCATGGTGTCAACAGTTTTTGAGTGCGTTGACAAATAAATACTTTTTGGCAATTTTTGGTTAAAAAGTAGAAAATAATTCAAACACAAAAAAACGCTCATGAAATTGTTGAGGGATGAAAGATATTTACTAAGCGTTAAGAGGTTGTTATTATGTAGAAAAGTACGTAGAGTCTCATGGTGTCAACAGTTTTTGAGTGCGTTGACAAATAAATACTTTTTGGCAATTTTTGGTTAAAAAGTAGAAAATAATTCAAACACAAAAAAACGCTCATGAAATTGTTGAGGGATGAAAGATATTTACTAAGCGTTAAGAGGTTGTTATTATGTAGAAAAGTACGTAGAGTCTCATGGTGTCAACAGTTTTTGAGTGCGTTGACAAATAAATACTTTTTGGCAATTTTTGGTTAAAAAGTAGAAAATAATTCAAACACAAAAAAACGCTCATGAAATTGTTGAGGGATGAAAGATATTTACTAAGCGTTAAGAGGTTGTTATTATGTAGAAAAGTACGTAGAGTCTCATGGTGTCAACAGTTTTTGAGTGCGTTGACAAATAAATACTTTTTGGCAATTTTTGGTTAAAAAGTAGAAAATAATTCAAACACAAAAAAACGCTCATGAAATTGTTGAGGGATGAAAGATATTTACTAAGCGTTAAGAGGTTGTTATTATGTAGAAAAGTACGTAGAGTCTCATGGTGTCAACAGTTTTTGAGTGCGTTGACAAATAAATACTTTTTGGCAATTTTTGGTTAAAAAGTAGAAAATAATTCAAACACAAAAAAACGCTCATGAAATTGTTGAGGGATGAAAGATATTTACTAAGCGTTAAGAGGTTGTTATTATGTAGAAAAGTACGTAGAGTCTCATGGTGTCAACAGTTTTTGAGTGCGTTGACAAATAAATACTTTTTGGCAATTTTTGGTTAAAAAGTAGAAAATAATTCAAACACAAAAAAACGCTCATGAAATTGTTGAGGGATGAAAGATATTTACTAAGCGTTAAGAGGTTGTTATTATGTAGAAAAGTACGTAGAGTCTCATGGTGTCAACAGTTTTTGAGTGCGTTGACAAATAAATACTTTTTGGCAATTTTTGGTTAAAAAGTAGAAAATAATTCAAACACAAAAAAACGCTCATGAAATTGTTGAGGGATGAAAGATATTTACTAAGCGTTAAGAGGTTGTTATTATGTAGAAAAGTACGTAGAGTCTCATGGTGTCAACAGTTTTTGAGTGCGTTGACAAATAAATACTTTTTGGCAATTTTTGGTTAAAAAGTAGAAAATAATTCAAACACAAAAAAACGCTCATGAAATTGTTGAGGGATGAAAGATATTTACTAAGCGTTAAGAGGTTGTTATTATGTAGAAAAGTACGTAGAGTCTCATGGTGTCAACAGTTTTTGAGTGCGTTGACAAATAAATACTTTTTGGCAATTTTTGGTTAAAAAGTAGAAAATAATTCAAACACAAAAAAACGCTCATGAAATTGTTGAGGGATGAAAGATATTTACTAAGCGTTAAGAGGTTGTTATTATGTAGAAAAGTACGTAGAGTCTCATGGTGTCAACAGTTTTTGAGTGCGTTGACAAATAAATACTTTTTGGCAATTTTTGGTTAAAAAGTAGAAAATAATTCAAACACAAAAAAACGCTCATGAAATTGTTGAGGGATGAAAGATATTTACTAAGCGTTAAGAGGTTGTTATTATGTAGAAAAGTACGTAGAGTCTCATGGTGTCAACAGTTTTTGAGTGCGTTGACAAATAAATACTTTTTGGCAATTTTTGGTTAAAAAGTAGAAAATAATTCAAACACAAAAAAACGCTCATGAAATTGTTGAGGGATGAAAGATATTTACTAAGCGTTNCTGCTGCACGGGCGACCCGAATTAGATTAAATTGGTTAAATATTCCGTGTCATACTTTGACAAAATTTAACATACCGAGTCATCAAAAGCAGGGTTTCCATAAGATCGCTTACTGGCTCGAGCAATACCTTTTCTTCTGCTAACGCTATTGTACACAGAGACGTTGTCCACACTGTACGCATCTAAACTGACAGGAGTACACCTCTGTCCATAGTTAAAACGTTTGTGTCTTCTTTTAATAATTATCTGTAATGAAATTGTTATTTCAGTTGCTTCAAAGTAAATCAGAACGTTACATCACTACTTTCTAAAATTCAATTAAAATTTGATCGTTTAATTTACCATTACTATTTACTAAAACTAAAAATGCATAACTTCTAATTAGAGATAGAACGGGTAGGACTTGACCAGACCAGAGATATAGATAATAAAATAGGATTTCGAAAAAACACCACTAAATCAATTTAACATCAACGTTTAAATTCTAATGAGGGGTCATACAACTTCTAAATTTAAAAATGTAAGTCTAAGTCTAAGTCTTCATTAAAATTAATGTCCACTAGGAAAGGAGCTAATTAGACACAGTAAATTAATAAATTACACGTATTTCTAGTTTAACTTACGTAAAAAGTACGGAGTTTAACTGATTGAGAGTGGTTTTATTTTATGATTACAAAAAGACCTGTTTCTAAGGTGAAAGTGTTAATATAGTTTCTTTAACGAGTTTTGTGCAACTTCAGTTTCAATTTCTACAAAAATAAAAAAACTAAACCGCTCTAATCGCAACGTGTAGCAAAAACTGATGTTAACTATCAAATAACCAAAAGTAAAACGCTTCAACCGATTAATAAACGAATGTAGAAATACCTTTTGTCATCATTGTCGTAATTACTTTCGCAATTTTATAATTTTATATAAATCAATTGTAAATCTCGCCAACTAATGATGACAATGACTAGTTCCTATTAGTTTTAAACAGTTCATCCTTGATAGCCAGGAAGAAGACAAACCGGAAAAAATCGTCAATAACGCGTGAAAATTAACAAAGGAAATGGTACAGGAATCGAAGCGTAAAAGAGGAGTCAGACATTCGATGAAAGTTTCCAAATGAAGCAAAAACAAGAACCAGGAAGATAGGCAAACAATTATGAGGAACCAGAAAAAGTTGTGAAATTCCTCGTTAACGTAAAATACGTTCCCCAAAGAAGAAACAAAATTACAGTACAAGAAAAAGCATTTTAATACAAATTTGTTCTTCGAGACGTTTTTCGATTCCATAGGGCGTCAAGGTTGACTAATACTGTGGTTAATTCTTGACCGATATATTGATGATTAATAAATCGATTTCTATACGTAAATTGTAACATATGGAAGAATATTTTAAAAGTCTAAGAAGTTCATGTTTTTAATGAGAAACAGTAATACTGTATCAAAATTAATTAATGTGATTAAGAACAAAAGTTTTCAATATTGAACAATTTTGATTCTCTCGACTTTGAATTGAAAAACATCCCGTTGAAACACTATTCAGGGGCACCTTTTCGATCCATTTCTGTAATAATCTCAAATGGCCTATTCCTAGGACAAGTTTGCATTACAATGATTTTTCTTCTTTAATGTAAAAAACTCATTGTAGTACGTAGAAAGCACGTTGAGTAATTTTTATGGTACGGCATAAACCTTTAAGGTGCCTTCTCACATTTAGATAAAATCAACGAATAAAATAACGACACGTTTTCACGATTCTCCGTGAAACGTAGTGAAGAATTTAAATGTTACATTAAAATGCGAGATAGGTGCACAGACTAAATTTACATTAGGTACACTGTCCCTACAAAAATGTCATTGTTTTGACACTATCGTAGGTCGAATAAAAGAAAAAAGTAATACTTACCACAATAAAAAAAAAGAAAAAACGAAAGGTCAATTTGGAATGGGTAGACGCAGGATTCCCCACAAATATTTCCGAAAATTTAAGATATATTATTATATTGTAAATACAGTGATATACATTTTTAAAATGAAAAGAAAGCAAAAACCCCATGGACTTCTCTGGTCTTTAAATATTCATGGAATTCTAATTGAAGCTAGTTGTGTTTTTGTAGAAGTCATAATGGGATAAGTCTTAAAAGGATTCCTAGACAATTATTAATGTTCTTACTACACTAGTTCGAATTTTGAACAATACCTAAAAGTTTTTAACCAAAAAACAACAACAACTTACCAACAATCCTGCCAAAAGTAAGAGACAAACTGCACCAATGCAAGAGATGACAATTGCAGCAATAGTGGCGCCATTTCCGTCCATATTCGAGCCCATTTCATGGCTTCCTGCGATAGTTGTTGCTTCGAAAGGTTCTTCAATTTCAGTAAAAGCCCCTACGTTCCTAGCACCGTTCTCTATCAACTGTGGTGTTTGATAGCTATGGTCTGGTTGGAACGTTTCCGGGGTGTAGGTCGTCTGATGAGAACCAACAGAAGCCACATGTAATATTTCTATAGTAGTTGGCAGAGTTGATGTAGAATTATGCCTTACAGCACGCTCTTCTGTGTTATTTTCATATTTGGCCCATGTGTCGTTGCCAACATGATCTTTATCGATGCTGAACAAATCGTTTGATGAAGAAACGGTGGTTGGAGCGTCATAGATATCGTCATCATCGTCATCGATGACTTCCTTACTTTCAATCTCATCTTTGCTACCATCCACGTCTTCAAGGGTTTCCTTGCTTAATGTAACGTTTACTTTTTTGCCAGCCGATACAGAAAATGACGAAGAAACGGAAATTTGTGTGGTGTACGAAACCGTCGCTTCGTCTATTTCAGAAGAGCTACGAATGTCTACATTGGGTGTCGATGTAAGAATGGTTGTACTTCCATTGGTAATAATCGTGGTGTCTTCGCTGGTAGCAGTGGTGCTGGGTGTATCAGTATCTGCAGTTGTGTAGCTAAATATCCCATCATCAACGGTTGTGGTTAACGTCGATGATGACCATTGTTCTTCAGATTGTTCAAATGTACTCCTGTCCGAAACTGTAGTTATTTCTGTAGATGTAACTTCTGGTTCCAGTGTAGTTGTCGATATCATGGAGGTGGTTTCATAATTCCTATCGTTCGTATCGTTGACAGTAACAGGAGGTGATTCTGTTGATGTAGGGTGGTTTAATGGTAAAGTAGTAGTTGCATTTCCTGTGGTTATCGTTATCAAATTATGAGTTTTAATATCGACTCTGTTATTTTCTACAGTAGCATTAACAGGAGTTGCAGTAACGCCAATTTTTGTGGTAGTTGTTTTGCCAGAATCAAGATCGCTGTTTATATAATTATTAGTTACTGGTTCTGTAACCAAATCCTTCTTGTACTTTGAAATAAAGTGATTGGTTTCTGTTTCGTTCATATCACTATTCGTTTTGATGTTTTGCAGTGGTTTTGTTGTGGTCGATCCTAAATAAGAGATAACGTTTTCATTTTCATTTACTTTGTCTATTTTGTTGGATGAATTTCTTGTGGTACTTTCACTGCTTGCACTTCTGGTATTGTTTGAATTTCCTATGATTCTACCTCTCTTTTCGATAAGAATTGGTTTGTTGGTGTCAGTAAGAAGATACTGATCAATGCGTTCTTTGTTCGGTTCATCTTCACTCGTTGGGGAATACGTTGGGATAAACGGGTCCTTTTTAATATTTTTAAGTTTAGATTCTACTATGCTGTTGGTGAGGACTGTTGTGCGGGATTCGTTTTTGTTAAGCACTGCTTGCTTGGGTGGAAGATCATACGGTATTGTTGATTTAGTCGTAATGTTCTGTACAACTTCCGATTCAACCTCTTTGGAATTGTTTTCGTCGCCAGTATCTTGTTTCTCGTCCGATTCACCGGTTTTAATTGAGTTGCTGTTTTCGCTGTTGCTTGATGAATCTTTTTCTTCTTTGGAATCATGATCATCGTCGTCCAATATTTCGGTGTCATTGAACGTCATGTGATAGTTCACGCTTGTTCTCTCTATTGAAACCTTTCTGGAATATATTCCGTTCTCGTCTTCCGTGTCATTGTGATGTACGTTTTTAACTTTTGTGATTTCGATTTTCCGTTTCGTCGAGTTTGTGGGTCTGTCAAAGAAGTCGTCGAGGGAATGATCGGGGTTTCGGATGCTCGCACTCGCGGAATCGGAATCATTCAAATGATCTTTGGAGTCACTGGATGATCCAGACAATGTTGTTGTCACTGTGGCTTCGGTACTTTCGTAACTATCCGAGTCTTTGCTAGGATGTTCTGATTCGAATGACAGAAACCTTTGCGTTTCTTCAGAGAGTGGTAGTTTGTAGACATTATTTTTATTATGGAATTCTGACGAAATATATTTTTTGATGTCAATTGATCTGCTGCTGTCTATCCTATCAAATCCACTTTTGGATATAGGTTTTCCTGAACGGCTATCCACTAAGTTTTCTTCGTTTGATATATTTCTTCCTGAGTGATCAAGTACAGACTCTTTAGAGGTCGGTGATGGTGCTGATAGGTTTTCATCACTGGAACGACTTACTTTTGGATTATTTTCCAAATTTGTTTCATTTGTGAGAGAAGTTATATTTTCTACGACCCGATTTTTAGAATCTCCTTCAGTCTTTAATCTAAATTTGTTTAAGACATCTTGATTAGCAATTATGTTGGTAGCATTTTTACTAATGGTAACAGTAGCATTATGGATTTCAGAATCAGTACGAGATGCAGCTTCTGTTGCTGCTTCTACCTTTGAACTGTTTCTTCTTAAGGTGGTGTTATTTTCATTTTGCAACAAATTAAGTGTTGTTGAGTTCGTTGTTGATCCATTAAACGAGTTAGTATCATTTTTTGTTGTTAGGTTCTGGGCTGTTTCCGGTTGTACTGACGAAGCCAGATGGGAAACAGCTTCTATAGAGGCGCCATCTACGTTACTATTCCATGAGAATAAAAAAACGTAGCCTATAAAAAAAATTAATAAAATAAAGCAATCAACAAACTGATTTACGATTAGATTTTGATTGTAAAATACTTCTTTTTAAGAACACCATGTATATTCTAATTACAGTATTTCTAAATAATTAAATGAGGTATTATAAATAGATACTCAAAACAATTTTTAGAGAACATTTATACACATTTAGACCTATTATCAGCTTTAATATTGTGTATATAATTTATTTATTGTTGACGTCTTTGGATAATAGTTGATTTAAATAGTAAATATTAAACCTATTTATCGTTTAACGCTCCTGTAAAATAAATAAAAATCTTTTATCACTTCAAAAGTTCTACTGTATTATAGAAAAAGCAAAGGAAGTTGGAAACATTAGAATAATTAACATGAATACCATTCAGTTTACACGTAATTTTTATATGAGCTCGTCTGTGGATACGTATGAAAATAATTTTGAACATAAGTGGGATTGTTTCTTAGAACTAATGACAAAACGAGTAAAAATGTGCATAATGTCGTCTTCAATAAACACCTTTTCTAAAGGCTAACGACACTCCTTGCCTAACGGTTCTTTGTTATAAGTTATTAGATATCAGACTTGATCTATTATGAGGATTGTACAGAAAATAACGCAACAGTATTCATTCGACAGAGTAATAATCACTGCAGTAATACACTTTTCAAGCAATCGCCAATCATGCATCAGTTGCTTTCTTAAAAAGATTATTTTTGTACAAACGATATGACTTCTGAAACATCAAGAAACCTCAGAATCTTCGATGAGGTTGAAGATTATTTACGACGACGAGACAATGAAGAAGAGCACCGCACAGAGATAGATGAAATGTTTGAGTTTGCAGAACATTGAGTAATTGAAACATCAAAATTACGAAATGTAGTGGTAGATCTTCCAATGAAATCTTGGTTGTTAGCTCTTTTTTTTTTATCTGCCCAGGCGTCCCCAATTGATTCTGTACCTTCCCAGATCTTTTATCTTTTGGGTGTTTCATTCCCACCAGCCAGTAATGCTGGTGGGCGGGCAGTCCCTCTGGACTATGCCGGAAGGTATGGCGGAAGGCCCTCTTCAGGAATCGTGGGAATGGGTGGGTGGTGGTTCGGGTGAGAAAGATGAGACGGACGAAATGAAGACAGAAGAGAATGAAAGATTATCTATAGAATATTACTGCCCCAGCATTTACCGAAGTGATCCAAGGAAACCACAGAAAAACTTGGACCAAGGCAGACGGACCCGGAATCGAACCAGCGTCCTCCCGAATGCTAAGCAATGGTCCCCAACCTTCCCAGAAATACAGACTGGCATTTATAGGAGGCACGCCTCATGCAGCATGTGGGTCTCCTGTGGCAGATAAAGAACATGTCGATAGAGGGGTTTCCCAGTAGAAATGAAGTGAGGGATGCCTCATGAGTTTTTCATAAGAATCATAACATAATGTGGACAATGCCACCGTTTTCCACAGGGGATTCGATTAGGCAAACATTAACTATCTATTGCAACTTTTCTTAGACAAAGTTTTGGTTATCTGATGCTGGTGGGTCACATTTTAAAATTACAAATTTATTTAAAACGGTAACAATCGTTTTCCTTTAGAAGGGCCACATGGAGCATTAATACTTCTTCGTCAATGAGGCAAAGAGTTATACGCCCTTTAGACGTCTTGTAGGACAGCCTCATGTAGCCCACACGAGGCAGTGTGGCTAACCTCATTGCCTGCTCTCAAAATCTTAATTGGGTATTCTTCAATTTTTTCTAGGGATCTCCCAGGATGCTCACAAACTTCAAAAATAAGTCTCCTTCGTTTCGCTTTTAATCCAATTATATTAGAAGAAACTTTATTAACTTCTACATATATATAGGAGAACGATTATAGTAATCAAAAGTGCAGAATGCAAATTTATGCCTGTTTGCGTTACTTGCTGTATAATCCTTGTACTACGTATGTCCACTCGACATCACTTCCTTGATTGTATGATTGAAATATTAAATAACATGTTGTATGATTCGCAAACCAATTAAAAAATTATTACACGGCTATTCACCGCTGGATTTCCTCCAGTATTAATTATCATTACATACCTTCTCACGGCAACAACAAGACATGCAGATGTAATACGAGGGTGGATTGATAAGTTTCCGGCCTAACCAAGAGATGACGCCACTAGGCCTACCTTGAGGTGACATTCTATAGTACCATCCTTGGATAGCTTGTAGCTATAGTTTCAGCCCGATCTCCTTGCTAGTGTAGGTTTGACAGCACG